GCAGACTTTGACGTTTGGTAGGTTGGCCACCAGAGTTCAGAAAGCATCCAACTGTCCAGCAGAGTTTCATGTTTGGTAGAAACTAGAATTGGAGAGCATCCAACTGTCCAGCCGCCTGCAGAGTTTGATGTCAGCTGCCTCGTGCGGCTGGAGGCATCCATCTACCTGGCAGCCTGCAAAGTTCGACGTTTGGAAGCCGTCGCAGTGTGTCTCAGCGCTCGGAGGGCATGCAGCCTGCAGACTTTGACGTTTGGTAGGTTGGCCACCAGAGTTCAGAAAGCATCCAACTGTCCAGCAGAGTTTCATGTTTGGTAGAAACTAGAATTGGAGAGCATCCACCTGTCCAGCCGCCTGTAGAGTTTGATGTTAGCTGCCTCGTGCGGCTGGAGGCATCCATCTACCTGGCAGCCTGCAAAGTTCGACGTTTGGAAGCCGTCTCAGTGTGTCTCAGTGCTCGGGGGGCATGCAGCCTGCAGACTTTGACGTTTGGTAGGTTGGCCACCAGAGTTCAGAAAGCATCCAACTGTCCAGCAGAGTTTCATGTTTGGTAGAAGCTAGAATTGGCGAGCATCCAACTGTCCAGCCGCCTGCAGAGTTTAATGTTAGCTGCTTCGTGCGGCTGGAGGCATCCATGTACCTGGCAGCCTGCAAAGTTCGACGTTTGGAAGCTGTCTCAGTGCCTCTGAGTGCTCGGAGGGCATGCAGCCTGCAGACTTTGACGTTTGGTAGGTTGGCCGCCAGAGTTCAGAAAGCATCCAACTGTCCAGCAGCTTGCAGGGTTTCATGTTTGTTCGCGTGCACAGCGTTTTTAAGCTTTTGAGGCATCGAACTACCCAGCAGCCTGCGAACGACGTAGGGTTGGTTCCTCAGATCGCCACTACTTGACAGCTTGCACAGTTGGACGTTTGGTCGATCAGCCAGAGTTTGGACGTCTCACTACCCAGCATGCAGAGTTTCATGTTTTTGAGCCTTGCGCCATCGAGCTTGGAGGGCATCCCACTTCTCGTAGCTTGCAGAGTTTCGCTTGGTCGCCTGTTGAACCAGAGTTTGGAGCATCCAACCTGCGAAGTTAAACGTATTGTGTGTGGGTGAGTGAGAGAGACGAAGAGAGAGATATAGAGGGGAGTATGCCTGCATCTGCGAATGCGTGCGTGCGTGGCTGCGTGGCTGGGTGGCTGGGTGGCTGAGTGGGTGGGTGGGTGGGTGGGTGGGTGGGCGCGTCAGTGAGTCATGGAGTGACTGCGTGACTCGTGGTCTGTGCATTGGCAAATTTTTTCGAAACGGCACGAAAGTGTTGCAAAAACCCAGACAGAACGAAGAAAGAAACGTCCGAAAACGTGGAAAAAACATTTTCCGAATGCAGTGGTAGTGAATGTGCGGGTTTGGAACCGCGGCCTATGCAAGGCTAACCTGCTGTGAAAGTGTTGCTAAAGACAAGAAGAAGCGAAGCAAAATCTAGCCGAAGGCTTCAAAAGCAATTTTTCGGCAGGTTTCTGCAAGAAATGCGCGGTTTTTAAATCGTAGTCTGTGCGTTGGCAAATTTTTTTCGAAACGGCACGAAAGTGTTGCAAAAACCCATACAGAACGAAGAAAGAAACGTCCGAAAACGTTGAAAAACATTTTCCGAATGCAGTGGTAGTGACTGTGCGGGTTTGGAACCGTGGCCTATGCAAGGCTAACCTGCTGTGAAAGTGTTGCTAAAGACAAGAAGAAGCGAAGCAAAATCTAGCCGAAGGCTTCAAAAGCAATTTTTCGGCAGGTTGCTGCAAGGAATGCGCGGTTTTTAAATCGTAGTCTGCGCGTTGGCAATTTTAGCGAAACGGCACGAAAGTGTTGCAAAAACCCATACAGAACGAAGAAAGAAACGTCCGAAAACGTTGAAAAACATTTTCCGAATGCAGTGGTAGTGAATGTGCGGGTTTGGAACCGCGGCCTATGCAAGGCTAACCTGCTGTGAAAGTGTTGCTAAAGACAAGAGGAAGCGAAACAAAATCTAGCCGAAGGCTTCAAAAGCAATTTTTCGGCAGGTTGCTGCAAGGAATGCGCGGTTTATAAATCGTAGTCTGTGCGTTGGCAATTTTAGCGAAACGGCACGAAAGTGTTGCAAAAACCCATACAGAACGAAGAAAGAAACGTCCGAAAACGTTGAAAAACATTTTCCGAATGCAGTGGTAGTGAATGTTCGGGTTTGGAACCGCGGCCTATGCAAGGCTAACCTGCTGTGAAAGTGTTGCTAAAGACAAGAAGAAGCGAAGCAAAATCTAGCCGAAGGCTTCAAAGGCAATTTGCTGCTGTAGGGAATGCGTGGGTTTTGAATCGCAGTCTGTGCGTTGACACACTTGCGCGACACGCCGCAATATGTTGCACAAACCCATACAGAACGAAGAAAGAAACGTCCGAAAACGTTGAAAAACATTTTCCGAATGCAGTGGTAGTGAATGTGCGGGTTTGGAACCGCGGCGTATGCAATGCCAAACTGCTGTGAAAGTGTTGTTAAAGACCCGAAGAAACGCAGCAGCCGAAGGCTTCAAAAGCAATTGTGGGCATGCCGCTGTAGGGAATGCGCGGGTTTTGAATCGCAGTCTGTGCCAGTCTGTGCGTTGACAAACTTGCTCGAAACACAGCAAATATGTTGCACAAACCCAAAAACCATAAAAAATACGCCGGAAAGGCTTGAACAACAATTTTCCGAATGCTGTGGTACTGAATCTGCGGCTTTGGAACCGGGGCGTGTGCAAGGCGAATGCGCGGGTTGTGGGTCGTGGTCTACGCATTGGCAAACTTTGTGGAAACGCCGCGAACGTCTGAGCCAAAAGAAGGCGAAAGGAAGAACGATGCGTTCGAAAGGCTTGACAAAGAAGTTTCGAATGCAGGGGTAGGGAATGTTGCTTTTGAGTGAGTCACTGACTGAGTGAGTGAGTGAAGGCGTGACCGAAAGAAGGAGGGACTAAAACACTTGTGTGGGGCGTCAGAGAGAGCTTGACGTTGTTCAGGTCATGCAAGCACGATGCTCCAAGCCATCCACAATGGCCAGCGCCCGCAGATCTTCAAACGGAGTTTCGATGTATTCAAGCGGGTTTGTAAGCCGCCCTCCCGAGGGTCCAGCTTGGTTTGGGTTTGCCACGTTCCCTCCGCTCCTGGCTTGGGGCTGCTGTGACAGCAGCTTGCCTGTTTGCGGTCTAGTGGGACGAAAACCACTCTGTTCCTGCTGTTGGTTCAGCACCTTATCACCTGTCTCGGGAAAGGGCGCGGCGAGAAGAGAGGAAGGGCAAAGCGGAGGGGAGAGGAGGAGGCTAGGGGGAGGAGGGGGGGGTCCGAGCTGCCGTGCCTCCTCCCTCCACCGCCCCTGCCTAGTGCCTGAATAGTGCCCGAATAGTGCCCGAATAGTGCCCGAAATAGTGCCCGAAATAGTGCCCAAATGAACCCCTCATAGTGCCCAAATGAATTTCTCTTGTAAAGGAAAACAAAATCTGTCTTTTTTCGCAAGAAAAATCATTTGGGCACTATGAAGGGTTCATTTGGGCACTATTTCGGGCACTATTTCGGGCACTATTCGGGCACTATTCAGGCACTAGGCAGGGCAGGGCAGGGCAGGGCGGGGCGGGGCGGGGCGGGGCGGCGCGGGACGGGGCGGGGCGCGGGGCGGGACGGGGCGGGGCGGGGCGGGGCGGGGCGGGGCGGGGGAGGGCGGGGTGGGGCGGGGCGGGGCAGGGCCGGGCCCCGCCGGGCCGGGCAGGGCAGGGCAGGGCAGGGCGACTATCACGCCTTCACCTGCAAAGCCACCCAGGCCAGCTGGCTAAAACCGCGCCGCGAGGTGCTCAATGCCCAGCAGGCATGCCGAGGCAGCAGCCACGCCTGCATCAGTCACAACCTGTCGCAAGCAAGATCTGCGCACCTCATGAGTTCACTGCAAGCGAGCGCTTGTGGAAGCATTTCTTGTTTCAGAAGCCAGGGTATGCAAACGAAACCCGCGTTTCGTGACGCTGTCCGAACCATGTGTGCGCAATTTGGCGATGGCTGATGGCAGCGAAGCATCCGGTGAGCCCCAGCCCTTGGCAAATGGCCCGGAGCAACACCTAGACGCAGATGGCAGTGCAGAACCCGGTGAGCGAGCTGTCCTGCAACCTCAACAACACCCAGACGGACCCGTCTAGCTAGACGAGACAACCGAGGTGCGCGTGCGAGGTGCCATCGCCGAACTTTTGCCCAGCGTGGATCTGCAGCAGGTGAGCGTTTATGACTTTCGCTGCCAAATCGCACTCCATCTTGGTTTCGGGCGCAAAGGCTTAGAAGCCGCCGCTGACCAAGTGAATCTCTGGATTCGCGAAGCCGTGGACAACCGTGTGGCGCGTGCGCAACAAAGCCCCGAGCAGCGCATGGAAGCCATGCTGGACATACTCGGCTCCGAGGATGAATCTAAGAAGACACAAGTCCACTTTCTCACATTTGCGCGTCTCTTGCCGGGCACGGCAGAGCTTCGCGATCTGCGAGATTTGGAAGCGATGTCGCGCGAAGACCTTGCTTGCTGCGTTTGGAAGGCTTTTGACGAGCCTGTAGCTGCAGGTCGTGGCCGCCCTCCAGGTGCTACACAGCTGGTTCGCAAACTCGTCGTTTTTCGAGAAGAGCATGCGGACGGCATGCATCATTTCCACGTCGCGGTCTTGCTGCGACAATCGCGTAGCTTCGTTGCCGCAAAGCGCACCCTGCGTGAGCGAGACCACCTCGCTGCGCACTTTTCCGCTTCGCACACTGGCTTCTGGAGCGCGGTCCGATATGGACACATCCCCACGGCCAAGAAGCCCGAGGTGGATGCCAACCCCGTATCCTGGTCAGAAGATGGCGGTTGGGGTGCGCTGGACTTGTTTGCCGAGTCGCAGAGACCATGGATGGCTGAAGTCTGGAAGCGTAGACACGAGGACCTTTGGTTTGGGCTGAAAAGTGTTCTTGTGCATCGGAGTCCTTGCGTTTTTGCGTGCAGGTTTCTGGCATAATGTTCCGTAATGAGACCTAGCTCAACCTTGGACTTACAGGAGTCCGCAAAAACGGCCAGCGGAAGCCAACAGAGCTCCAAAAGGCCGAAGTTCAACAAATTGGATTTGACTTCCATCATGCTGGCGAAGAACTTGACGACCAAGGCTGCCGTGCTGGCATATGCCCAAGACCATGGCACGGCCGAGATGCAGGTCTTCGTTCACGCGCATCAGAGAAAGCTTGCGGACTTTCTGCAAGAAGCCGCCGACTGGGGAATGGCACGCTCCGCGGCAGCGGCCGAAAAAGATCTGGACTGGGATCTGGTCTGCCGTACAGCGCAGGAAGCCTGCCCACATGATGGGAGCTGCACCTATGCCGCAGCCGTGCAAGCGTTCTTCTCGGCCAATGCAGCGTGTGTGTCGCAGCAGGAGCTGGCAACGGCCCTGCGGGCGATCATTCGCTCAGGCCCTTCGAAGACAACACGGGTGCCGCTTCTTGCAGGTCCCCCGAATTCTGGGAAGACAACCATCTTGCTTCCCTTTGATGATCTTTTCGGGTTCAAGCACGTTTTCCACAAGCCTGCATTGAACTCCAAGTTCGCGCTTCGCAATCTGTTGAAAGAGAAGCGGTTCTTGTTCTGGGATGACTACAGACCTGTGGAATACGCCCAGGAGACTCTACCAGTCACTGCGTTTTTGAGCTTGTTTCAGGGCCAGCCCCTCGAGGTGCAAGTCTCGCAGGCCTTCAACGATGGCAATGTGGACTTTGAGTGGCATCGTGGATGCATTATGACCGCCAAGTCCGAGGGCCTCTGGGTGCCATATGGTAGCGTCTCCCAGGAAGATGTGCGCCACATGCAGAGCCGTGTCCATGTTTTCACGGCCACCGCCACCGTCCGTCATCTCCAGGACACGCAGCCCTGCAAGCAGTGCATGTGTGCGTGGATCCGCGACGCGGCAGCGCAGCACGATGCAGAGCAGGTGGTCCGTGTCGTGGGGCCGCCCAGAGCCGTGGAACCAGCATCAGAAGCTGCGGGTGTGGCTGGACTTGCAGCTCTATGTGTGCAAGCCCGCCTGCCCGCGGAGAAGATGCAGCACATGGATGCCGAGCTCCACGCTTTGGGTGCCGTGCATGTGACGGAGCCTAGTGTAGAAGATTGGAGGCGCTTGCAATCTTGGGGGGAGTTGCTGCCTTTCGAGCAGCGCCGCCTCCTGTCGGCAGTCAGCAGCTAAAGCGCTGTCTGATCACCTGGTGTCGAGGAACGAAAGAGTCGTGCGGTCGGCCACGGCAAAACTGTGCGCCAGCTGCACCACGAGCCTTTCAAACTTAATCGCTGTGCCAGGCGGCGGATTTCGGGAGAGCGCTTTGGTCTGCCTTTGCTTTGGGTCCCAGAAAGCCGGTCTATGTCATCTGCAAATGCAGGAAAAACCGCTTCAGGTTAACGCCACCGATGCTGTGGATGTTGACTGGCAGGGTTACAAACGTGCGAACCATTACCTGCTCCTTTCATTCGCAGCGTCACGAAACTCCGCAAGTCTAGCAGAAACCTGGACGTCTGGGCCTTCCGCAGAGCCGGAGGATAAGCGCGAAGTGATGGCTACGTGATGGGCTGAAAGCCAACCGAAGGCGCGGCAAAATGTTTGAAGAACACAGGGAGCATTGACTAGCTGGAGATGCTCAAGCCCGCCGAAAGTTCGACCAAAATGGAGTTAAGTTTTGAGGCAAAGATTGCGGCGAGCCTGTTCTAGAGGTGCAAAAACCGTAGGACAGATTGTAGCGACGCAATGTCTCTTTCAAAATGTAAGACCGTGTCATACACCATTTTTTTCGAACTTTCTGCGGGGTTTAGGATCTCCAACCCCAGAGAAACTTCGACAAAAACCTTAGAGCTGACAGTTTTTGAGGTTAGATACGCGCCGCACCGAAGGAAACTCTTCCGACAAGCAGAGGCACAGAGGAGGAGCTGCGCGAGCAGATCTTGGTGTTGTGCAGAGACGTGCAAGAGTCAGGGTGCTGGAAGGTGGCACAACACATGCTTACATCACAAACTTGGAGGACGAGAGCCGCGCTGCGTGAAATTTCCCTTTCCATGCGTATGCACTGTGCACAGCATGCGACTTCTCCGAGCTTTTGCAACCGTTCTGAAGTGTCTTCAGTGCTGCTATGTCCTTCTGACCTCAGCTTGTGCTGACTGTTGGGCTTGGAACGCCGGCCAGGCAGGTGGAAGGTGGGATGGCTGAGGCTACAAGGCAGAGCTTGGAGAGTGGAAGTTTTTGGAGGTCACGATGCGTGAAGGTCTACAGGCACGCTGCACTCCCTGTCACGACCCAGTTGACCAGAGGTTTGGCCAGTTCCCGTGCTGACGGCCGCGCTGTGCAGAAGAGGCGGGCTTTGACACAAGTGGAGGGTGGAACAGCTGCCCAGGCAGCGCTCTGAACACGAAGGTCTAGGAGTGTAGGAATGCCTGCAGGCAGTGGAAGCTCTTCAACGCACTTGTGAGCAGGTGTTGCCAGCTCCCGTGACGACGGCCGTGCTGTGCAAGACCAGCGTCAAAATGTGCTACGGATAGTTTCTTGTCTCTGGAAGCAGCTGCCGTCCGTACTTGCAGCCTTTCCCGCTCCATGTGTCTTTGCTTCGGCCTCCGTTTCCAACCAAGTCATTAAATCCAGCTAGACTCTCGTATTCACGCTTGAATCCAGATTTCCCCGCACCCCCTTAATTTCAATGTTGCAGTGGACAGTCTGCTGCTGCTGTGAGGGGGCACTGCCGGTCTGGCTGGCTGGAAGAAACGAACATTGAAATTGGGGGGCGGGGGGGCCAATCTGTATGATTTTGTAACATTGGGTGAGGCTACTTTCTGCTTCGGATGCAGAGGAAAAGTCCAGGACCAGTTTCGGTACCCTGCGAGTAATTTGTGCATGTCGGACAAGCCTACGGGCTGCTTCTGCGAAGCGTGTGCGAGAAAATCCCATTTGTCACCTGGGACGCAAACACCTACCTCAGTCGCAGTTTTCCCCAAGCCTCTTAAGCGCAGTAGCTGCAGCCATGGCCCACGAGCACCTCTCGCTTCCCCGGCCTTAGCCCTCTCACTTGTCGAGATGGGCTGGGAATGGGAAAGGAGGTGGTGCTACCACTCCTGGAGATGGGTCTGGCGAATGGTTTGGAACGGACCAGAACCGTTTAGGGCTGACTTCTGGGAGCCCCCAGCCGAGCCCTCAGCAGATCAGACCGCCGGTCACAGCTCCTCGGAAGCTTGTGGTGATACCGGCGGCTCTGATGGTCCCACCACCGGGTGGCAGGACTGGCAAGGTTGGTGGGAAGAGTGGGACTGGACCGACCAGGCTGGCGACACCGGTGCCAGCGGGTCCAGGGACGTCCCATCCGCCTCCTCTGAAGGGCGTGGTCGCTCCACCCCTTCAAAAGGGCGAGGCGAACAGCCCTCCGTCCACAGGGAGGACAAGGCCCTCGTCCAGGCCTACCGGAAGCATGTGGACGAGCGTGCCAAGAAAAACCCCGATGCGAGGCGGGTTTCGGTTTCCAGCTTTGTGCGGAACCGGAAACGTCCCCCTCGCAGCCAGAGGGAGGCCCTAAAGGCCGAAAGGGAAGGGTCCGACCCTCCCAAGGCCTCGGTGGACGGCAAGCCGCCCAAAGTCCGCACCCTTCCCCCTTCCAGGCGGACTCGGCAACAGCAAAGGGGCGGCAAAGGCTGTGAAAGCCTCTACAAGCTCCACGGAAAGCTCCGAGAGCAGCCCCCCGACGGCACCGACGGAGCCTCAGGAGCCCGAAGACCAGGAAGAGATGCTGCCCTGGTCCCGCCGTATCGTTCAGAAAACGACGGCGGTAAAGTCGTCGGCCAGGGCCAGGTCGGCCAACGACCCACCTTGCAGCTCTGGAGAGGAGATGGAGCCTGACCCACCCTCTGCTGCGCAGGGTCCCAGTGCCGTGAAGGCACCCGCCACCAAGACGCAGGACCTCCTGGCACAGCCAGTGAGCGGGATCCTGCTCCACAGGAGGCGCCACCTAAGCCCCCGGGGCGTGAGACCCCGCCTGCTGGCCCCCCGGTCTCCTACGGCCCAGGGGAGGGGACCCAGAGGGAGGAGGGAGCCCCTAAAGCCCCTACCCGGCACCTGCCAGTGCACCGAGGGTTGAGGAGCCTCCTCCCCTCCCTCCTCCTCCCCATCCTCCCGAGGGAGGAGCAGCCCCTCGCAAGAGAAACAGGGGCGATGTCCCAGGCGGTGCCCCGGCGGCGTCCCAGTTCATGCGCCTCGACACAGAGTGTCGCCAACCGCCGGAGGCGAGATGGATCGCCCTGGCAGTGAAGCCCTCAGCCCTTGCCTCTGAGGTGCTCAGCCTGTGCCGCAACAGCTTGGACTGCCTCCAGGTATGGCCAGACGAGGCGATCCTGGACCTTCGGTTGCCCATAAACGACCAACTCCGCGAGGGTGAAAGGACCCTCATGGCTACTGGGCCTTCGGCCCTGCAGCCAGAGGTCCCCGAGGCCAGCGAGCCCTCCCTCAGCGAGGCTGCGGGGTCTACAGGAGGGACGGGGTGCCCCCCCCCTCAAGAGCCTTCTTCGGATTCAGCTCTTGTAGAGGATGTGGAGGCACCACCCTCGTATGGACCCCACCGTGCTTTGTTACGCTTGTAGGGTCGGGTGCCCTACAATCGAACATATGCAAGCCCATTTCATGACCCCCGGGCATCAGGAGCGGGTCAGGAGGTTTTTGGCCTCCTAGCCTCCCCTCTCCTTTGCAGAGGCAGGAGGCTCTGCAGGGTGAAGGGTTCCTCCCCTCCGGGTGAGGCTCCCTCCCTGTAGGACTTTCGTCCTGTTTCACTGGGATGTGGCTCGTGTGCATGTCGGACAAGCCTACGGGCTGCTTCTGCGAAGCGTGTGCGAGAAAATCCCATTTGACCTTGGATGTCCTGATGTTTTCGGCATGCCTGAAGCTGTGAGGAGTGCTTTTGAGTTAGGAAGTGACTGCACGTTCGTTTCGTCTCGTTTCGTTAGTGCTTGAAGTGTTTTGCTTGGAGACAGACAGCTGCAAGGTGTTTCACTGTCAGTCAGAGCCCGACGCGACTCCGCTTTGGCTCAAGAAAAAGACCGAGTGCTGCGCGCTCTGTTTTTCACATTTCCGCACGGCTCCAGTGGACTACGTTTGTTTGTGGAGGACCACTTTGAGTTGTTGTCGATTCCCAGTCTCCAGGTTTTCCACAGATGCAGCTGCTCAAAAATGTAACACCCAGTTACCCAGTCACTATTTGTCTTGAACGCATCTTCGGTTCAAAAATCAAGTTGTAGCATGTGTTCTTGCAGGATTTGTGAATGTGAGCACTTGTGCATGTCTGTGTGTGAAGCATGCAAAACTCGAGTTTGTCATGACCGGTAGAAGCTTATGAGCACAGTTTGCTGAGTTCACGAGCATGGACCGGAATGTGGAACTCTGGCGAATGGTTAGATTCGTGGCGTCTTGCAAGTCTGCCAATGTGTACTGTGGGGGTACTCTGATGTGTTCTATGTTTTTTGTTGTTTTCGAGCCCCGAAAATGGACTCGTAAAGCTCGTCGAAAGTGTGGCAGGGTAGAGAAGCTCTAGACGGGTTTTCAGGCTGGAGAAGTGTTGGAAGGGACTTGGCAAGGCTGCGGTGCATGAATAGTAGACGTCTTCAAATAGTGCCCGAATAGTGCCCGAACTAGTGCACAAATGAACTCTTCATAGTGCCCAAATGATTTTTCGCGAAGAAAAAAAAGATTCCTTTCTTTACGAAAGAAAATGTATTTAGGCACTATTATGAAGAGTTCATTCGGGCACTATGGAGACTTGGGCGGCATATCTGGAGCTAAGGGTTGGAAGGTCTGCAAAACCACCAAAACACTGGAAATGCGCACGAAGACTGGAATTTGTGCTGCAGGAGGCATTGGGAAGTGATCTGCGGGGAAGGGTTTGGAATGGGAAAAGAGGGGGTTCAGGGAAGGATCTGCAGAGTTTAGGGCAGAATCTGCAGGCAGGATTTGGGAGAGGGTCTGCAAGCAAGCGTTTG